TGTGACATCTTTGAAACACTGAAAGACACTGGTGGTGCCAAAGATTATGACATTGCCAAAGCCAAACTAACAGAGCATTTCAAAGCAAGGCAAAATACTGCAATGGAAATTATGCATTTCAGGAGAGCCAGACAACTCTCTAATGAAACCGTTGATCAATACCACACACGTCTGCAGGGTTTAGCAGCCCATTGTGAGTTTGCTGATATTGACAAAGAAATCAAACAGCAAATAATTGAAACATGCACATCTACACGTCTCCGTCGAAGAGCTCTAGAACTTGTTGATGATGAAAGTTCTCTTACCAAGATACTGGATATGGCTCGTCGAATGGAAGATGCTGCACGTGATGCTCGTGTCATGGAGTGCAGTGCCAACAACGGTTCTGCCACTGTTACTAACAGTCATGAGGTATGTAAGGTTCAGGGAGGACACCGTGATCAAAGAAGATATCATGGCAAACCTAACAGTAAATTGAGCCGAGAACCACGTCACAACTGGAGTCATGGAACAAGACTCAAGCAGTCACAACGATTCACATCAGAGGGTGTCAACAATAAATGTTACAATTGTGGAGGAGACTACCCACACCAAGATAATGTTTGTCCTGCTCAAGGTAAGAAGTGCTATGAGTGTGGAAAACTAGGTCATTTTGGTGCTATGTGTCGTTCTGCACTCAAGAAACCACAGTCAATGAATAAAAGCACTGTACGAGGATCAGGTCATAGGGGTCGAGGTGGTAAACACAATATTGCACCTCATATCCAGAATGTTAATAATGTACAAGACAACATTTCATTACAACCAGTCTCAGATGACAGTGAATGTGATTATACTTATGGAGTACAAGCAATCACAGAATGGAATGATCTTCCAAACAACCCAGAGACATGTGTATACATTGCTGGCATTTGTCTCAAAGTTCTCATTGACACTGGATCAAACATTGACACCATTGCTGAGTGCCACTATGAAAAATTTAAAAAACAGTTCCCAAAGCTTGAAAACTATAATGGCAAAGCCACTGCCTATGCTTCAAAGGTAGCCTTGCCAGTGATTGGAACTTTCACTGCAGAGATTAAGTCAAAGAATGCAATGCTCACTACTACATTCCATGTTGTTAGGAATGCAAAGGAGTCTTTACTCAGTTACAAGACTTCAACCAAATTGGGGCTACTTCAGCTTTCTAATGCTGTAGCAGTGGAATCTGCAAACAATGTTGATGGTATTGTTGCTGAATTTTCTGATCGATTTAAATCCATAGGTTGTTATACTGATAGCAAAGTACATCTGCATATCAACCCAGATGTAATTCCAGTTGCCCAACCACATCGCCGACAACCATTCCATACTCGCAAGAAAGTCGATGCCGAACTGGATAGGCTGATGGAACTAGATATCATTGAACCAGTAACAGGCCCAACACCATGGGTAAGCCCAATTGTCACTCCACCAAAGCCGAAGAATCCAGATGAGATACGCATTTGTGTGGACATGCGTGTTCCCAACAAGGCAATAATGCGTGAACGCCATCCTACACCCACTGTAGATGATATGATCTACCGCTTGAATGGTGCAACTGTATTCAGCAAGTTAGATTTAAACAAGGGCTATCATCAGCTTGAACTTGATGATGAGAGTCGCTTCATCACAACGTTTACGACACATCGAGGTCTGTATAGGTACAAGCGCCTGAGTTTTGGCATCAACAGTGCTGCCGAGGTATTCCAGCACATCATCAGCCAGGTATTGCAAGATATACCTAATGCTGACAACATGTCTGATGACATCATTGTTTATGGCCGTACCCAAGCTGAACACGACAAAGCTCTTCGTGCAACATTGCAACGCTTACGAGAAAAGAATCTGACGTTAAGCCGAGCAAAGTGTGAGTTCAATCAACGTAAAATTGAATTCTTTGGACATGTACTTAGTGACAAAGGTCTGTCTCCAGATCCTAAGAAAGTTGCAGATATCAAGAATGCTGCACCTCCTTCAACGTCCACTGAAGTACATAGTTTTCTGGGAATGGCAAACTACTGTTCTCGCTTCATTCCAGATTTTGCTACCATTACGAAGCCTCTACGTGAGCTCCTGAAGAAAAATGCATCATGGTACTGGAGCGATATCGAGCAAAATGCATTTGATGCTGTGAAAGATGCACTAGTAGAGAATGCGACTGCTGCATACTTTGATCCATCAATGGACACTGAGTTAACGGTGGATGCTAGTCCTGTTGGTTTAGGTGCTGTTTTAGCCCAACACAAACCTGGTCAACCAGATTCCAGAGTAGTAATTGCCTACGCCAGCCGTTCTCTCACAGATGTTGAGCAACGATACAGTCAGACAGAGAAGGAAGCTCTTGCTCTTGTATGGGGCTGTGAACACTTCAATGTGTATCTGCTTGGTGCGCCCTTCACCACGATAGTCACTGACCACAAACCGTTGGAGACCATCTTCAATAATCCAAAGTCCAAACCACCAGCTCGCATTGAGAGATGGGCTCTTCGTCTGCAACCATACAACTTTACGGTGAAATACAAGCCGGGTGCAGGCAATCCCGCTGATTACATCAGTCGACATCCTGCCAACAGTTTCACCATCACCAAGCATCAGCAAGTTGCCGAGGAATATGTACACTCTGTAACCTGTGATGCAGTCCCTAAGGCTCTCACTCTTGATGAAATCCGTACTGCAACTCTAGAGGACCCAACTCTGCAAGCAACAGTGGATGCATTGACTAAGAAAAAGTTTCCACGCATCCCACCCTCAGGAGTTGACCAAGATGCATTCAAAGCACTTGAACGCATCCAGACAGAATTAAGTGTTACGCAACAACGCGACACCGTGCTGCGAGGTACTCGTATCGTCATTCCAGCTGTTCTCCAGCAACGTGCTCTGAAGCTTGCACATCAAGGACACCAAGGTCTTGTTAGGACCAAACAGCTGCTACGAGAAAAGGTGTGGTTTCCTGGCATTGATCGTCAAGCAAAGGACATGCATGATGCCTGTGTCCCTTGCCAAGCTGCAGTGGATACTTCAAGACCAACACCTCTACAACCTTCACCACTACCTGCTGCACCATGGACGGAAGTATCGATGGACTTCTGCGGACCACTACCAACTGGAGAGTACTTGATGGTAGTCATTGATGATCACTCACGTTATCCAGAAGTAGAAATCACCACTTCCACATCTGCAAAGGCTGTCATCCCGAAACTCGACAAGATCTTTTCAAATTTTGGCATTCCTGAAGTTGTCAAGACGGACAATGGACCGCCATTCAATGGACAAGACTTCGTCAACTTTGCTGAGCATATTGGATTCAAACACCGCCGTGTGATGCCACTACATCCTCAAGCAAATGGAGAAGTCGAGAGATTCATGCAACCTCTCATGAAAGCGGTACGCTGTGCTCATGCCGAAGGACGATCCTGCAAACAAGCTATGTATGCTTTTCTCAGGAACTACCGTGCAACACCACATGGAACACTGGGCAAGTCGCCTGGCGAACTTTTATTTGGACGTCCTATGAGAATCGCACTACCCGTCATGCCAGCCGAGGTAACGGATAAACGTCTCGCTCAGAAGGATGCACTAGCCCAAGGGCAAAATGAAAATTGCTCATGATCAACGTGCAAAGGAACAATTCATAAAGGTTGGAGATACTGTTCTCGATAAAAAGAAAAAAAGAGGGAAAGTTAGATATACCGTATGATACAAAACCATATAAAGTAATTAGTGTAAAAGGAACTATGGTAACAGCTAGTAATAGAGATCATAGTATAACACGTAATATGGCTTATTTCAAAGTGATTCCAACTAGTGTAGAAAATGATGAAGTGCAAAGTCGTGCAAAAGAAAAAGAAAAAATGAGTTATAACTCGATAAACAATTCATCAAGGGATATTATTGTATTTAAGGACTCTCGTCCTAAACGTCATGTTAAACGCCCTACACGATTTGATGATTGTGTTCTCATGTAATGCAAATTATTTACTTATTGTGCTAAAGTAAATTTAATATTGTTTGATTAATGCAGATCTCTCATTCAATATTTTGTAACTTTGTATTACAGTTTCTTTCATGTTTGTTTAACATTGCATATGTATTTTTTAACATTGAAATCCTTTGTGGTAAAGATTAAGTTGTTTAAATTCTTTGTATGCTTAATTAATGTTAAATGTATGCAATATCTCTTGATATGTTAATCACTTACTTTGTGTCAATAACTTTGCTTTGTGCTACAAGCATGGTAGACATCCTGTATTCATTCTTTTTAAAGAAAAAGAGGGATGTCATGTTCACAGAAAATGGTACCATCCGTTTTCTATGTGCGGCGGCTGAGACGCCAGGAGGAGGTAAACAATAGAGCATACAGGACGTCCACCAAGCTTGGTAGCTACTAGTCATGTAATCATATTAAGTATTAAAGTCAGTAACCAAGTCATGACTTTACATCAACCCTACAACCAAGACTTCCTCAGTAACACACAAACACCACAAAGCCCACCTAACGTCTCCTGAAACAGCAAAAGTTTACCCCTCAACACGAAATTGGGGAAGTTTTTGAAGCTATGAATAATGCTACAGATAAATTAGCTCCCTGAAATGCCCAAATGTTGCCACCCCCCCCCCTCCATCCCTGACACTATGAATGTAATAGCAAGCCCTCAGCGCCCTCCTCCTTCACAATCACAAAATTCGTGGTTGCAGAAGCCCCACGAATGCTGGTAATCTTCAGTCAACTTCTCCTCAAAAGTTGCCAAGACGCTGTAGCTCACGACTAACCACTGCCGCGTACTGACATTGTGGAAAATCCAACCATTTAGCAAAGGACTGCTGGTCTGCACCCCGGTCATCATCGCCTAGACAAATTTCTCACTCTCCTTATCTATCCAATACTTCAAGGCTCCCATATTGTAAGTACCATTAACAAGTTGGTCACTTCACTGCAGATTGTAGAGCTCGGCAAATGACATTCCCAGCTCGTGGTTCCCATGATCAGACTTCGCAAGGCAAACAGCGTTCATGACATTATCAGTATTGCCATAATTAAAATAATCACTCCAACTACAATACCAGGTCACAGAAGTCTGGAGCTCAGCATGTTCACTCAAGTAAGTAATTATCAAAAGAAGGCACCAAACCGGGAAGGCTATGTAGCACCATCAAATGTGCGGAATAATCAGAGGGCGCTAAATATCACCAAGGATGCCAATACGAGAACAAAAACGCATAAGGCGAACGATATCAAAAGTATCCGAGTCACCAAGAATTCTATTGAGGGACAGGTGACCGCGAGGGGCGGTCGGAAAGCAAGACACACGCTCGTCCTGGAAGTCAGGACATTCAAGAAGGACATGCACGACCGTAAGAGGGACAATGCAATTAGGACAATAAGGAGCAGGGCGGCGCTCCATCAAGTGACCATGGGTTAAGCGAGTATGGCCAATACGCAACCTCGCCAGAGCCGTTTCCCATCGCCGGTTACGGTGGTAGGAGGACGGCCACGAGGAAACACAACATTTAAGAGTACGTAGTTTGTTACCAGTAACAGACGACCAAGAAGCCTGCCAACGGGTAAGGATGGAGGAATGGATAACCGGGTAAAAGTCGGAATATGGAATACCTTTACGAGAGATGGGACAAGAGCGGACAGCTTCCTTGGCGGCAGCATCCGCACGCTCATTTAAAGACACACCAATATGGCTGGGAACCCAACAAAACTCAACCGACTTAAATTTACTGTGAACAAGAAACAGCCAATGCTGGATCTCGACAACTACTGGATGAACCGGATTAAAGGACCCGAGAGCCATGAGGGCACTACGAGAGTCAACAACAACTACAAAGGAAGACTGACAACGAGAAAGCAGGAGACGAAGAGCATAGAGAATAGCATAAAGCTCCGCTGTGAAGATGCTAGTCTCCGGAGGTAAGCGACACATATAAGTGCGATCAGGAAAAACAACAGAGTAGCCAACACCGTCCGCAGACTTAGACCCATCGGTGAAGACAGAAACGGAGCGGGAGTGAGAAGAAAAGTGCTCAAGGAAAAGGCGTTTTAGAACCGTAGGAGGGGTAAAAGCTTTAGTGATGCAGGTCAAGGATGTACAAAACTGCGGAAGGGGGACTCTCCACGGGGGCAAAGAAGGAACAACACGAGGAGAAACATTAGAAATACGAACGGAAAGAGAATCCTGTAAGCGAGATAACCGGACAGAAAGAGGGAGGTGGTGAAGAGGAACAGGAACCGCAGGAGGGGTAAAAGTTAAAGCACGACAGAGGCGAGAGGAAGGATGTTGCAAGGACCGCGCAAGATAGCGAAGACAGTAGCGATCACGGCGGTCCTGGAGAGACAGGAAGCCAGTGTCAACATACAAGCTGAGGACGGGAGTCGAACGAAAGGCACCAGAACTGAGGCGCAACCCAGTATGGTGCAAAGCATCAAGACGGCGAAGAGTAGAAGGAGAAGCAGACGAGTAAGCAGGGCAACCATAATCGAGCTTAGACAGGACGAGAGAGGAATGTAAAGCAAGGAGAGTGCGCCTATCCGCTCCCCAAGAAGTATGGGACAATACCCGAAGGAGGGTAAGGGCCTTAGAGCACTCAACACGGAGGTAAGAGATATGGGGAGACCAAGACAAACGAGTGTCAAGGAATAACCCCAAAAGCTTCGCGGAATCTTTGTACTCAAGGGGATGACCATAAAGTGACAAAGAGGGACGAAGAACGACCCGTTTCCGAGTAAAAGTCATGGCACAAGTCTTAGTAGTAGAGAACTTGAAGCCATGATCGGTGGCCCAAGACGACACGGCATCAATCGCAAGTTGAAGCCGGCGTTGAAGGAGAGGCGAATCATCACCCTGACAGCAAAGGGTAAGATCATCGACATAGAGAGCGGAGAAGACGCCTGAAGGAAGAGAGGAAAGAAGACCATTGAGGGCAACCAGAAAAAGAGTAGTGCTCAGAACACTACCCTGGGGCACACCTTCGTATTGCTGAAAAGAGGCAGAGAGAGCGGTACCAAGCCGCACCCGAAAGGAACGACGAGAGAGGAAGCTGCGGAGAAAGAGAGGGAGATGACCACGAAGGCCAAAAGAATGAAGCTGGGATAGAATATGATATCGCCAAGTGGTGTCGTAAGCCTTTTCCAGGTCAAAAAGGACGGCAACAACGGAGGTCTTCGCAGCAAAAGCAGTACGAATATAGACCTCCAAGTTCACCAGGACATCTGTTGTGCTGCGGCACTTGCGGAAACCAAATTGAGAAGGGGAGAGGAGGTGATGGTGTTCCAGGAACCACATCAGACGAACGTTAACCATACGTTCAAAGAGTTTGCAGACACAACTTGTGAGGGCAATAGGGCGAAAGTCCTTAGGGGATGTTCCCAGAGACCCTGGTTTGCGAACAGGGAGGACAACGGCATCGAGCCAGTCCTCAGGGACTGACGACGACTCCCAGATCCGATTATACAGACTCAGTAAATACTGAGACGTGCACGGAGGGAGATGGCGAAGCATCTCATAATGAATACCATCGGAGCCCGCCGCCGTAGAACCGCAGAGGGCCAGGGCAGAACGAAGTTCAGAGAGAGAGAAGGGATCGTTATAGGGAAGTCGAAGACGAGTGCAGAAATCTAAAGGACGAGATTCAAGGACAGGTTTACGAAGAAGGAAAGATTGGGGAAGATGAAGACCAGAGCTAACAGAAGAAAAGTGGGAACCCAGTTCGGTAGCGACCTGCAACGGGTCCGCCACAAGAGTACCACGGAGGTGAAGGACCGGTGAAACATCGGGAACGAACTTACCCGCTATCTTGCGGATACGCTTCCAGATCTGTGGCAGAGGAGTTTCGGACGTAATGGTGGAGACATAAGATGCCCAACATTCACGTTTAGCCGTACGGATGGCCCTACGGGCCACCGCACTCGCCTTCCGAAAGAAAAGAAAAGAATCGGCCGTCTGCCGACGGCGGTGTCTCTTCCAGGCTGCACGCTTACAGCGGACAGCCCGAGCACAGTCTGCATTCCACCAGGGAACGCACTTCCGTGGACCCCGAGAGGAAGAGCGAGGAATAGAGCGGAGGGCAGCGTCGAAGACAGTGTCATGAAAAAGGAGGAGAGAGCGAGGGAGAGGCAGAAGGGAGAGGTCAGAGAGAGCAGCACTGAGGGTAAATAGGTTCCAGTCCGCTTTAGCAAACTGCCACCTAGGGAAGGAGAGGGGAGGGCGAAAAGAGAAAAAGGTAACAAGGATGGGGAAATGGTCACTGCCATGGAGGTCATCAAGAACCTGCCACGTGAAATCTAAGTAAAGAGAAGACGAGCAAAGAGAAAGATCAAGACAGGAAAGGGTGCGAGTCCGAGAGTCCAAATGCGTGGGCTCACCAGAATTCAGAAGAGACAGGGAAGAAGAGAGGATAAACGGCTCAAGAAGGCGACCCCGGGTGTTCGTCAGAACATCACCCCAAAGGGAATGACGACAATTGAAATCACCCAGCAGGAGCACAGGCTCCGGCAAGGAGTCCAGTAGGTGTTTCAGATCAGGAAGAGAAAGCGGGACACTCGGGGGGAGATAAATGGAACAAACGGTGTACCATTTCCCCACAAAGATACGAGCAGCAGAACAATGGAGAGGCGAAGGAAAAAGTAAGGGGACAAAGGGAACATCAGAGCGAATCAAGAGAGCAGAAGAGTTAGGAGCCCCAGCAACAGCTGGGGGGGGGGGGGGGGGAGAAAGGAATAGCCACGAAAGCGACCAGGACGAGCACCAAGCATCGGCTCCTGGAGACAGACACAAAGGGGCGAAAACCGCGAAATCAGAAGTTGGAGTTCAAGGAAATTGGCGTAATAACCTCGAACGTTCCATTGAAGAATAGACATCGACGAGAAGAGAAAGGACAACAACAGAGAACAAGGAAGAAACAAAGGCGAAAGAGCAACACAGCACGTTAAAGAAGATCAGGGTCAGGATCAGGGTCAGCAAAGTCAGGGTTAGGGGGCATGGGTAAACTGAGCAAAGACGGAGGGAAGGAAGCGGGAGAACAGACCAGAGGTGGACGGGCGGGGTCCGGAGGAGGAGGAGGAGGAAGAGGAGGAGATAACCGAGAGGAGCAGTCAAGGACAGCAGCAGGAAGAGGGGGAGTAGAAAGAGGGGAGCGCACCTCAGCAAGGGCAGCAACCGAGAGGGAAGCGGGGGCCAAAGAAACCTCCATAGCAGGAACAGGGGGCGCAACCACCGAAATGGGAGGGGAAGGAGCGATAGAGTCAGAAGTAGGGGCCGAGGAAGAAAGCGAAGCCTTCTTACCCGCCGGGGAGGAGGAAGGAGAGGAGCCAGGCTTACGCTTCTGACTTAAAGAGACAGGTGTCCCAGCAACTACGTACTGGGCAACGGATTCCAGCGTCTCAACAGGAGAAGCTGAACGAGAGCACACACGACGGCCGTTAGGAGAGCGATGGACATCAGCCCGCACCGACAGGCGGCGGGGAGAGTCAATAGACGGAGGAGAAGGATGGGAAGGAGGATCGGAGGGAGACGAGGAAGAAGACACAGGAGACATGACAGACCGGGTAGAAAGAAGGGGAACCCCAGACAGAGGACCAGGAGGGGGACCCTTCGGGACAGAACTCAAAGGAACAGAGGAGGGGGCAGTGGGCGTATCAGGGTCCAAGGCCCGGAAACGGTTGTGAGTCTGAGGAAGGTGGGAAGGACGAGGAGAGGAAGAGCGCAACACGCGAGCATAAGAGACGTTAGCATAAGGCGGGAGCCGGCGAACCTGGCGCCTCGCCTCAGGAAAAGATAAACGCTCCCGGTGCTTCAAGTTGAGGACGGCTGCCTCAAGCTTGTAATGGATACACGCACGGGAGAAGGTAGGATGGGCCTCACCGCAGTTGAGGCAGCGAGCCTGGGGAGAAGTGCACTCCGACTTAGAGTGACCTTCGCCCCCACACAAAGGACAGAGAGAGACAGTCCCAGAGCAGCGGAGGGCACCATGCCCAAACCTCCAGCACTTGTTACAGAGCCTAGGAGAAGGAATGTACTCCTGGACAGAGCACCTGGCACCAGCAAGAATGACAGAGGGTGGAAGGGTCCTACCATCAAAGGTAATCTTCACAACCCGAAGGGGTTGACGGCGACGACCACGAGGGGGACGAGTAAACGTGTCTACCTGGAGGACAGAATGGCCCTGGGCATCGAGGATATGCCGAATATCATCGTGGCAGTCCTGCAGATTCCGAACACCGGTCGCAACATGGGGCGGGAGGAGAATAGTGCCAACACTGGCATTCAACCGAGCGTTCTTGGAGACCCGAACAGGGGTCTCGCCAAGGCAGGATAAGGCAGCCAAGCGGGAAGCTGCATCCTGAGAAGGAGCAGCAACGACACGTGTACCGAGACGAGTGGGGTTGAAGGTAACAGAGGCATCCACGGAATCAACAAGATGCCTATGGAGGGAGAAATCGTCAGGAGGCGCAGAATAAAGAGGGAGGAGATCATAGTATTTGGCCCACGAAGCGGGACCAAACAAGGCTTGATAGGCATCAGAACGGGAAGGAATCGAGCGAGTGCGGCCGTGTCGAGGACGGCGTTGAGAACCCCCAGAGAGAGAGGGGTTAAAAGGCGCAGTAGTCACAACTAGAGACTGAGCCGTGCCAGGGGACGAGGTAGTCACCACTGGGGGCTTGGGGCTCGACCCAACCACAGAGGAGGGAGGGGAGCCGAGGGGAGTAGTCAGAGAGGCCAAAGGAGGAGCAAGGTCGGGGCCCAATGCAGCGGAGGCTACAGAGCCCGGTCTTCCAACACGGACCGACTCGGGGGCTTGGTCGCCCACCCCACGAGCCTGAGAAGGTAAAGGAGGAACAGAATTCAACATAGGTACGAAAAAAAAACATTCATTCACGAATGTGCCCCCACACCCACCATGGAGCCACAATTAGAGGCAGGACACCCAACAAGAAGCTATCGCCGATCATGCCGGGGCCCCTAGGGGTGCGTCGTGAGTATACGCCCCACAAACGCCACCTTAAGAACCGTCAGTCCGTCGAGATCGGGTTCAGTGACGAAAGGGGGATTGACAATAAAAGGTTCCCCTCGCTCTCGACGTTGGGTACTACAGTTCTACGGGTGCAAGAGTATGCCTCCTCAAGCACCCAGGCGTCAAAATAGAAGAAGTCCAAAGAATAACCAAAACAAGCAAAAGGTCGGCAGGAAACGACAAGCAGATAGGAGAAGAGGGGGGGGGGGGAAAAACGAAACAGAAGGAAAAGGAAAAGTTGTTCAGCACAATTTGAGAGGACAGCAGCAGGAGCACAAGGCTACAAAAGGACAGAGGACTGTCCCAAGGAGCATCACACTCCGGCAGCCGCCCACCAAGCCCCCTCACGGCATCAACGAGCTGAACAGGGAGTACAGTATATTAAAGCACATTGGTATATTAAAGCTCTGACTGATTACATTGACAGCTTGATTGGTAATTTAAACAAGATTAATAGACACCATAAAGCAGATTGACAGCACATATAAGAAGACAGCAATGATCACAATGATAAAGATGTTCAGATAAAGTACAGTACATAAAGATTGGGAGATTGGGTAGCAATAGATACAGTGCAATTTTAAAGCAAAAGGTAAAAAAACTATGAAGATGAAATTAGGTACTTTTTAGTATTGTTTTTGAATGATGCAAAAGTTGGACAGCTTTTCAATTCAATAGGGAGTGAGTTTCATAGACTGGGTCCCTTTATTTGCATAGAGTGTTTACACAGATTAAGTTTGACTCTGGGGATATCAAAGAGATATTTATTTCTGGTGTGGTGATAATGGGTCCTATTACATCTGTCCAGGGAGAGTTTCAGAGCAGGATTTGCATTTAAGGACAGGGTTTTATAAATTTAGTTGACACAAGAGAATTTGTGGAGTGAGATTATGTTTAGCATGTTTAGGGAGTTAAACAAGGGGGCTGAGTGTTGTCTGAAAGCAGAATTTGTCATTATTCTGATAGCGGATTTTTGCTGGGTGATGATGGACTTGAGGTGGTTTGCAGTGGTTGAACCCCATGCACAGATACCATAATTTAGATAGGGATAGATTAGTGAATAATATAGAGAGATGAGAGCAGAGTTAGATACATAATATCTGATTTTGGAGAGTATACCAACTGTTTTAGAGACTTTCTTAGTTATGTGTTGTATGTGGTTACTGAAGTTGAGTCTCTTGTCTAGGAATAGGCCGAGAAACTTTCCATCGTTTTTATGGCTAATGTTTACATTGTCTATCTGAAGCTGAATTGAATTTGTAGATTTGCTTCCAAATAAGATGTAGTAGGTCTTTTTTATGTTAAGAGTTAATTTGTTGGTTGACATCCATAAGTGGACTTTTTTAGTTCTCACTCTCACTAAAGTAAGAGTTAAGATTCAGGGAGTGTCCGAGTTATCGGATGTCATTGCAGACAGTGAAACATATAAAATGTATGTTGAACCTTCCTGACATGTTGCTCAGGATGGTACTGTTACACTGTATGTTTCAAACACTAGTAGTGCCGACATCCACCTCCAGTCTGCCACCCACGTTGTAGATTTTGCCCATTACATGTTACTGGTGCGAGTGGTGGATGATGTCTCCATGGAGCATGCAGTGTGTACACTCACACTAGGAGAATGTGGATCTCAGTCAGAGGTGCAGGAGCAACACCTCAATCCTACTGATTTCCTTGCCTCCATGGTTCAACTTTTGGAAATTTTGAACAAAAATAGAGCAGCTGTACCTATACCAGGCAAAATGTTAGGTCTTAAACCTCTAATCTATATAAATAAAAATGTAAATGTTCGTTTGTTCAAAATAGCTAATCTACGAAAGTTCTTCACCAGTTGCTTTCAAATTTTTACACGATGTTCCATTCGCATCCGAGTAAGTTTATATATACATATTATATTGATGTCACATCTGTGATGGAAAAAAACATGCTTTTGTTGAAAAACTGTGTTTTTCATGTGAGAGAAATCTTCGAAACCTCTTTACCGATTGCTTTGAAATTTGGACACAACGTTGCATTTGAATAGGCGCATGTTTTTATATACCTACTATATACATGCCTAACCTGTGACAGGAAAAAACATGTTTTTTTTTAATAAACAGCGCGTAAGAGCATCACATGCTGTAATCTCCCTAAGTTCTTCACCGATTGCTTTGAAATTCTGGCACAACATTCTATCCGAATATGCACATGTTTTTGTATACCTACTATATTGATGCCACACCTGTGACAGGTAAAACCATTTTTTGTCTTAAACAGCGCCATCTGTTGCACATAATACCAACACATGATATACTAAATATGTTATGAATTCCATTTCAATGTTTCCAATTGCAATGATAAATAGAATTTTCATAGATTTCTATTTATTTTAATGTTGACTTAACTATTTTGTGTGACATTGTGTTGGAATTGAGCTGTTTTGTTTACCATACCATTCATTTCGTAAGTATATGTATAGATGCCACTCCTGTGACAGTTAAAAACATTTTTTTTTTATGAAACAGCACCATCTGTTGCATATAAGAGCCATACACACTGTGCTAAATATGTAAGATTCCGTTTCAATGTTTCTGATTGCATTGACATATTAATTTTTCATATATTTCGATTTACCATCATTTCAATTTATATATATTATATTGTGTGACATTGTCCTGGAATTGAGCTGTGTTGCACAACACTACACACTGCTCATTTCGTGAGTCTAAGAACAGATGCCACACCTGTGACAGGTAAACACTTGCCTTCTTTAAAAACAGCGCCATCTGTTGCACGTAAGAGCAACTCACGCTATACTAAATATGTTACGATTCCAATTCAATGTTTCCAATTTACTTGATAAATTGATTTTTCATATATTTTGATTTTTTTCATTATGATTTAATTATTTTGTGTGACACTCTGTTGGAACTGAGCTTTGTTGTTTACCATACATATGGCAATGTATGGTGAAAACTTATACATATCTACTCATTTCGTGATTATAGTTTATTTTGTTATTTTTCATTGTTTTTCATTTCGTTTTTTTAATTCTTTTTCTTATGTTTCAGTGGTGGGAACATCAGATCATTTGGGAACACATCAGACGAGGGAGTGGGAGGACGAGTGGACGGGAGTGGGGGATAGTACTGAGGACGACGGGGTAGAGGAGGGGGTAATGGTGGGGATGACGAGGGAACGGTGGAGTTGGCGGGGGTGGTAACGAGAGGACAGGAGAAGGGTGAATGGTGGGAGGGACAAGAGGACATGAGAGTGGGGGATGGTGGGGAGGACGAGGGAACAGGGGAGGGGGTGAATAGTAGGGAGGACGAGGGATGGGGGGAGTGGGAGATGGTGGAGAAGACGAGGGGACGGTGGAGTGGAGGATGGTAGGGAGGAAATAGGGATGGGGTAGAGAGAAAATGGCAGGGATGAAGAGGGGATGAGGGAGTAGGGAATGGATGGGAGGAGGAAGGCATGGGGGAGTGAGGAATGGTTGGGAAGACGAGAGAATGGAGGAGGGGGAATGGTGGGGAGGACTGGGAGACAGGGGGAAGGTTCCTCAGCAAAGCATGTGTGTTGCTGAGCCACAGCAACGCGTGGCCGGGTACAGCTAGATACATATAAAATTCCCCTTGAGCAAGGAACTAGACCAATTTATGTACCAGCTTACAGTCTACCACATTCTCAGAGCAGAAGCTGATAGACTTATAGAGGAAATGATACAGGATGATGTAATAGAGTGGAGGAATTCACCATGGGATGCCCCGATGATTCTTGTATCAAAACGAGATGGGACATGAAGACTGGTATCAACTACTAGAAGCTTAACAGAGTAACTATACCTGACCGTTTCCCATCTCTAGTCATAAATGATTTGTTGGAAAGCATTGGTTGAAACAAGGTATTCTCAACTTTGGATTTGTTTCAAGGATTATGTCAAATCCCAATTGATGAGGAAAGTAAACAGTTGACAGCCTTTAGTACTCCCAATGGTCCTTTTAATTTTAAGAAAATGCCATTTGGGTTGTGGAGTAGTCAAATAACCTTTTTCAGGCTCATAATAAACCTTTTTCATAAATTTGCACTTGTAGTGTAGTAGTACACTTAGAAGTAGTAGAAGGTAGTACTCTTCTGGTGTACCATCATGATCATGTTGCAAGATGTTCAGGCTCACTTACACAACCTTGAGAAAATGTTTGCAACTCAAGCTGAAGCAACTTTAAAGATAAAATTCTCAAAGTGCTAATTTTTAAAGAAGATAATTTCGTAGGTCATACAGTTACCTCTTCAGGAATCACCTTGAATGAATAAAAAACTATGGCTGCTTGTGATTTTCCAACGCCATGTATTGCAGAAGCCGTAAGACAGTTGACAAGTCTTTTAGGATTATATAATTTATTTATTGCTGGATTCTCTATAATAACCTCTCCCTTTTACAAGTTGCAAAGAAAACATGAACCCTTTGTTTGGGAAGAATCCCAAGATCAGTCATTAAGTAAACTCAAAGCAGCATTGATCTCTTCACCTGTCTTTAGGTACCCAGATTTTTCTAAACCTTTCACATTAGTCACAGATGACAGTGATGTAGGCTTGGGTGCTGCATGACTTCACATTGAGGGACACAGAGATCACACAATAGCTTATGCTAGCTGCACATTATCTAAAAAAAAGATAAAAATTATAGTGCAACTGAGTGTGAAGCTTTAGGAGTTATATGGGCTCTAAATATTTCAGGGATATAATCTATAATTATCCTGTCCATGTTCTTACATTAAGAACATCTTCATTACATCAACCATTAATTCCTTTGTTCAAGAATAAGAATCCCGTTGGAAAGTTTGCTAGATATTTGTTCATTCAAGAGTTCAATCCTCCAATTTGGTTATATTGCAGGGAAACAAAATGTTGTAGGTGATGCTATTTTTTAACACGTAGCTGCAATTCATGTAAATTATTCAACATAGATGCTACAGAAGTTGAGGCAGACAAGACCTTATATGGGCACCTGGCATTAAGTTTTTGACAAAGCAAGATACTTGTTCGACTCACAAACCCCCAATACCATTGAAAGAGTTAGTGATGAATTGACAATTTACTGTGTAGAGTAGTAACGCTAGGGATCTTTCTTGGGAGGTGTTGTCAGCTAGTTGTCCCAGCATTATTAGTACCAACTATAATCAAGTGCACATCCAGGAAAGGATCATACACTCCAGCAAGGTCAGTTGAAGTATTTCTGGCCCAAAATGACTAAAGAGATTGCTCATTATGTTGAAAGTTGTTTAATTTGTTTTAAGTATAAGGGACAGGTCAAGGGACCAAATCCTATTCATGTGTACCCAGCGACTAAGTACCTTGGGAACAAGTATCAAAGGATTTGTAAAAAAAAAATTACAGAAACAGAAAAGGAGAACAAACATTTGCTCTTAATGGTTGATAATTTTTTCACATTGTTGTGAATTAGCTCCTATCCAGAACAAAACAGAAACTATAGCCAGTGCATTCCATGACCAAATAATTGGTAGATACAGTACACTAAAAGTTATTCTCTCAGATAACGGTCGAGAGCTCAGTAATAGTTTACGCTCACGGCTAACGATTGCCATAGTTTTTTATTTTGTGCGGGTCTCATGTCAGGTTTGGTGAAATGTTACATATATATTCTTCTAGAGCATTCTCTTGCGAACAAATTGATACTAAATTTAAATACATACATGGAATATTAAGGTGAGCACACCGAAAAGATTATAAACATTTTAGTGTTGCCTCGCGGTCACCCGAAACGACCGGCTCAATCCCAGAAAGTTCACAGTTTCTTCTTCTTCTTCTTGAGAATAGGTGCAGTTTGCATGAAGGGGTAACCCTCCCGATGACTGCACCAGGACAGATGTAAGGAGATGCGTTGATGGTGAGGAGGAGAAGAAAGTCAAAAGCGGTAGATGTGATGGGCCGTAGAGAGAGGAGTGGCGACGAAAACAGAGGCGAACGTTAGAGGGAGACTCCCCGCACCGGGGGGGCGGGGAGTCGTGGTCACGGCGGCAGCTGATCCAGGCACGGCATAGCCGTGTGCGCAAGATGGGAACTAATACTTCTCCGGAAACTTGCATATCGGAAAGCGCAAGCAGTACGCTTCCCAAATCACCCACAGGTCGGCGGGCAGCCGGCCATCAGGCAGTACCCTCGGCTGAGACATCCTATCCGGCACCCTATAAACAAACACCTTCTCAGACGATACCCAGATAGTGGACGAGCACCATGGGATCGGAAGCACCCGGGCATCCCAATAAGGGCCCAATTCCGGACCCTCACAGGGCACGACCCCAGCAGACGGGACTAGGCAACCACCAGACCGGGGCAATGAAGGAGGGGGAACAGCAGGGGATGCAGGCGCGGCAGCGACCCCACCACAGGGCACAGGAGCCAAGGCTCCCCGGCGCACATCTTTCCGCAACATCACGACGAGGTCCCGATCATCAGGGACAACCCCCCACTGCGGGGATCCAACAGCAGGTGACACAGGAAGGGGGACACAGGTAGCAACTTCGGAGCCCCGCACAGCACCATCATCCACGGCGGGGGACGCCAGCTGAGCACCATACTCCCCCACCTCCTCCCAAGGCACACCACGAAGGGGAGACACACTCCGAGCCCGCCGCGAACGCTTCGAGACAGGCCGCACCACACCACGCCCAGCAGGCCCCTCCGCAGGCACGGCCACCATCGTTACATCCACACAGGCCACACCCGCACCGTCCGAAGAGTCCACAGAGGCCACATCACCCACACTGTCTACATCATCCACGGAAACAGCCTCAGAACACCGACGTGCACGCTTCTGCAAAGGAACGGAAAGAGCAGAACCACAGTCGTTAACACACACAGGCACGGCAGGCACCTCACCTTGCCGAAGCACCCCCTCCAAAACAGCAGAACCTGCGTCCCCGGGAGCCGTTACCACATCCACAGGCGGGGGTGGGACATGAACCTCCACCGGGACACCCTGCACTACACGCAGCGCAGGCGACGCCCCGTCACCCCCACACACCGGCTCAACAACCCCAGGGGCCACAGCAGTCACCTGACGTGTCGCACAGGCCGTAGAGCTCTCCTCAACAGGCAGAGCAGCAGACAGGCAGTCAGGCGCCTCAGGCACAGCACCCACACCGTCCGAACGCAACAGGGGCGGAAAATCCTCCGCACGAAGAACATGCACCCGACCAGTTGCTCCCACGTCGCACGCCGCAGCCAGATGACCTTCGTGATCACACCGATAACAGGTGCGCGGTTGACCCCGGTACTGGCAGCGGAGCGTGTAACCCAACACGGACATCGATGACGGTACACTACACTTCAGCGACATCGTCAGGGTGCGGGAGCCGTCAAGCATACCAACACAGTGCCCGGCAACGACCTTATTCCATCGGACACTTAACAGCCCCAAACCGTTCGAAACAGGAGGTTAAAAAGTCGTCCTGAAATTCGAAGGGGGCACCATGCACTGTCACAGACGTCAAGGTGACACTGAGATTCACTACCTTAACGGTGCCAGCAGTATCAGGGAGAGGGTAAACACGCCCCTCACACCGCTCGAGAAACGCCTGAAAGGCAGCCTGGAGGCGGAACTTGACTACAGCACGGTGGCCATGAAGCAGCTGGATGCCCACCAGGTCCGACAGCTCCACATGCAGCACGTCCACCAGGGCGACACCAACCAATGGATGGTCCACTGGCACCGTAAACGCCAGACCAGCTGACAGCGTCCTCGCCATTGGAGGGCGAGACGTCCCCATGGCTAAGCAAACGTCACCCTGTCAGTGGCAAACCACCACCAGCAGGGCAAACAAGCGATCACCCAACGTAAACACTAGCCAGAAGCGGAGAGACCTCAGGAACGTCCGACCTGGCCGGCGGTCACCACGCAACCCCGTACACAGTTTACTCCACGGAGCGCGAAAGTGTTAACTAGTTTGTGTGATTTGTATAACATTAAAAAATGTTGTATTATGTCATATCATCCAGCAAGTTATGGGTTAGCAGAGCGTACTAACCGGAAAGTGTTATATGCTTTGAGAGTCAATTTGAATTTTGATAACAGTAATTGGGATAAATTTATACCCTTAGTTCAGTGTGCCATAAATTCTTCAATTAATGCTTCTATAGGAAACACCCCTCATGCTATTCCTTAAGGCACAGATAAGATCCTTCCTAATGAATTGATTACTGTACCCCATCCCCCCACCCACATGCTCCTTTGTATAACTCAGATGATTATGTTCAAGTAAAGCGATGATATGTGCAACTAGTTTTCAAGAAAATGCGAGAACACTCGTCTAATGCAACAGCAGAATTTACTCGAGAAAGGAATGCATGAGCTAAGCCCAGTAAAATAACTGTCGGATCTGTAGTAATGGTCAACAGCAGGGCAGGGCCCCTAACAGGTGGGTGGACAGTGTTTCGGATTCGTAGTCCTGAGGTTCCGGGTTCGATCCCTGGTGGAGGCGGAAACAAATGGGCAAAATGTTTCTTTCACCCTGATGCCTCTGTTACCTAGCAGTAAACAGGTTCCTGGGAGTTAGACAGCTGCTACAGACTGCTTTCTGTGGGTGTATAATAAAAAAGAGGCCTGGTCGAGGACCGGGCCGCGGGGACGCTAAGCCCCGAAATCATCTCAAGATAAACTCAAGAATATGGTACTTAACCAAGACAGGTCTGGCTCTATGTACAAGCTTACTAAGAAATATTTGGGTTCATATAAAGTAATAGACCTTATTAAGGGTAACAAGTACAAACTTGAGAATTTGTTAAGAGGAGAGTATATAAATTAAGCCTTACACCACACGAAGTTAGCTAAAGTGACTGTTGATGAGACTGCTGCAGAAGATGACAATGGAGCTCCCCCAGACAGATTCTCCTATTAAGACACCACCTACTGTGGTTGACAGACCACTTGACGTAGAGCTACCCCATGCCATCACTCATAATCTTAGATTTAGACCTTTAGTCTCAACTATGCACTCACCACAAGTCCACTGTCTAGATGTTAATGAGATTAATTACCAAGATGAGAGCTTGACACATGCAGTTTCATCTGTTTCTGATCTTTAATCAGAGCCAGAGTTGTACAGTGCTCTTGACGAACTACGTGTTGACATTCGCAGAATCTAAAACTAAGTGCATTCTGCAGTAATTGTTCTGTTTTTGTTTGGCCAGATGCGACAACTATAGTCTCCTGGACGAATGAGTTCTCTGGTTTGTTGCCTTACTTCCCAGTACCTCTTCCTCATGTGTCTTAATATTATTGCACAATGCTATGTCTATACTATTTCAACTTTGTACTGTTTCTTATTCATATGCCAGTGTGAAGTCTACTGTGCCATTTGTATTTTTACAGAGCATGTCATCAAGAGTTCTCTTAGTGTCCCAGCAACCACACTGAGGCCAAGGATTCCTGACAAGGAACAGTTCCTGTCACTCCAGAGTTGACTGATTGACTGCAATCACCAAGATGTAGCCTTCTTGGTCCAGTCCTTGTAAATATTTGGTAGATATTGTGCATATTTGTTTTCTGATCTCTAATAAATTCATTATGGTTGTTAGGTCATAACTCTTGTTCTATTTAATTCAGATAATTGTCTTGTATGATTTCCAAGCACGTATCACTGACAAGATATTGATTTTTTTTACACAATCCTTTTTTGAGTATATATTCATAACTGATGATTAGACATGAACATGTTCTCACGGTCTTGTTTCAATTAATGCATTTCAAAAGGATTTCAAAATGAGTAAGACTATGTTCTAATTTTGCTGTTCTCATGGCAAGCGGTGTCAGTATAAACGCACACCTCTACTGCCATTTATTATTTAATCTGATATTTTACATTTTAAGGCATTAAGCAAGCCAGCGAGGTCCTTCAGAATCTATGTATTAGCTAGCCAGAGACTTATCGACAAGGGATTAAGATTTGGTAGGGTGTCTCAGTGGTGTCAGCCATCAAATTGTAGAAGATTGGAGTTTAGCCAATCCCGAGACATCTAGGCCTCTGACGTCATTTCCCCTTGAGTCAGGGAGTGTCTGCTCTAAAGTGGGCACCGGCTGTATTTCATGGACCTAGGGCCAGGTAGGACCTCGGGGTGCTGGACCTATCTTATTACCTCACTCAATAAAGTCCCGTGACGCATTCTAGTGTATTCTCTACTGTCCCAAGTAAGAGCTATCACCAATACTGCAACCAACAAGTAACTAAGCAAATTAGTACACCAGGACTAATATACCTCAATTCACCGGGGTATAATAATAATAAGCCCCAGTACACCAGAGGTAATATACTCCAGTACACTGGGTGTAATGTACCCCAGAGGAAATATACTCCAGTACACTGGGGGGGGGGTAATATATCCCTGTACACTGGGGATAATGTACCCCAGTACACTGGGAGTAATATACCCCAGCACTCCGGCGTAATATCCCCTAGTACTCACGTGTCGTCGAAGTGGGGCAGTACCGGGCTGTTCTTGACGAAGGCAAGGACGTCCTGGTCGACTTGGACTGCTTCCCGCCCAAGGTAGAACCGGCAAGGTTGTCCTTCTCTCTCGAACTGGTTTGCGCGACCCACGGCGGAGCTGTACACATCTGGGGGTGAGGGAAGTGTTCTTACCAGAAGGGAAGGGAGTGGAGTGGGGTGAGACTGGGTAGCAGGAGCAGTGGGGTGAGACTGCAGAACTGGGTATAGTGGGGTGTGTGGAAAATAATCCACAGCCTAGTACAGTAGTTCTGGTGTGGACTCCCCAGCAAGGTCTCCTTAACACTTGAGCGGCTCTCAGCTCACCCTAATGAGTTTTAACAAGCGATCTCCTCAATCAGGAAATTTTAATTTATAAGCTTTGTTATGAAGCATAACCATTAACTTAAATATGTGCATAGCATTTATTAATATTACAATACATTAGTCGATAATCGTTAATTAAGTTCAATAAATAAAATTACTCACCCCACCAGCGAGGGAGGAGGGAGGCAGGAGGCACCATTACTGACACCACCTGCAGCAACACGCACTACGCGAGGGAGGCAGGCGGCGCCATTACTGACACCACCTGCAGCAACAAGCACTACGCGAGGGAGGCAGGCGGCGCCATTACTGACACCACCTGCAGCAACACGCACTACGCGAGGGAGGCAGGCGGCGCCATTACTGACACCACCTGCAGCAACACGCTCTACGCGAGGGAGGCAGGCGGCGCCATTACTGACACCACCTGCAGCAACACGCTCTACGCGAGGGAGGCAGGCGGCGCCATTACTGACACCACCTGCAGCAACACGCACTACGCGAGGGAGGCAGGCGGCGCCATTACTGACACCACCTGCAGCAACACGCTCTACGCGAGGGAGGCAGGCGGCGCCATTACTGACACCACCTGCAGCAACACGCACTACGCGAGGGAGGCAGGCGGCGCCATACTGACACCACCTGCAGCAACACGCTCTACGCGAGGGAGGCAGGCGGCGCCATTACTGACACCACCTGCAGCAACACGCACTACGCGAGGGAGGCAGGCGGCGCCATTACTGACACTACCTGCAGCAACACGCACTACGCGAGGGAGGCAGGCGGCGCCATTACTGACACCACCTGCAGCAACACGCACTACGCGAGGGAGGCAGGCGGCACCATTACTGACACCACCTGCAGCAACACGCACTACGCGAGGGAGGCAGGCGGCGCCATTACTGACACTACCTGCAGCAACACGCACTACACGAGGGAGGCAGGAGGCACCATTACTGACACCACCTGCAGCAACAAGCACTACGCGAGGGAGGCAGGCGGCGCCATTACTGACACCACCTGCAGCAACACGCACTACGCGAGGGAGGCAGGAGGCGCCATTACTGACACTACCTGCAGCAACACGCACTACGCGAGGGAGGCAGGAGGCGCCATTACTGACACCACCTGCAGCAACACGCACTACACGAGGGAGGCAGGAGGCACCATTACTGACACCACCTGCAGCAACACGCACTACGCGAGGGAGGCAGGAGGCGCCATTACTGACACCACCTGTAGCAACAAGCACTACGCGAGGGAGGCAGGCGGCGCCATTACTGATACCACCTGCAGCAACACGCACTACACGAGGGAGGCAGGAGGCACCATTACTGACACCACCTGTAGCAACAAGCACTACGCGAGGGAGGCAGGCGGCGCCATTACTGACACCACCTGCAGCAACACGCACTACGCGAGGGAGGCAGGCGGCGCCATTACTGACACCACCTGCAGCAACACGCACTACACGAGGGCAGAGGCAGGAGGCACCATTACTGACACCACCTGTAGCAACAAGCACTACGCGAGGGAGGCAGGCGGCGCCATTACTGACACCACCTGCAGCAACAAGCACTACGCGAGGGAGGCAGGAGGCGCCATTACTGACACCACCTGCAGCAACAAGCACTACGCGAGGGAGGCAGGCGGCGCCATTACTGACACCACCTGCAGCAACAAGCACTACGCGAGGGAGGCAGGAGGCGCCATTACTGACACCACCTGCAGCAACAAGCACTACGCGAGGGAGGCAGGAGGCGCCATTACTGACACCACCTGCAGCAACAAGCACTACGCGAGGGAGGTAGGAGGCGCCATTACTGACACCACCTGCAGCAACACGCACTACGCGAGGGAGGCAGGCGGCGCCATTACTGACACCACCTGCAGCAACACGCACTACGCGAGGGAGGCAGGAGGCGCCATTACTGACACACCTGCAGCAACAAGCACTACGCGAGGGAGGCAGGAGGCGCCATTACTGACACCACCTGCAGCAACACGCACTACGCGAGGGAGGCAGGCGGCGCCATTACTGACACCACCTGCAGCAACACGCACTACGCGAGGGAGGCAGGCGGCGCCATTACTGACACCACCTGCAGCAACAAGCACTACGCGAGGGAGGCAGGAGGCGCCATTACTGACACCACCTGCAGCAACACGCACTACGCGAGGGAGGCAGGCGGCGCCATTACTGACACCACCTGCAGCAACACGCACTACGCGAGGGAGGCAGGCGGCGCCATTACTGACACCACCTGCAGCAACACGCACTACGCGAGGGAGGCAGGCGGCGCCATTACTGACACTACCTGCAGCAAGACCCATCATGCGAATGATGGATAACAGTGATAAATTCCAGGTACTCAGGTACGGCAAAAATGAGGATCTGAAACATAATACAGGGTAAAAAACACAAACGAATCTTCCCGTAGTAGAAAAACAGCATGTCAAGGATTTGGGAATAATAATGTCTGACGACCTAACGTTTAGGGAGCATAACCAAGCAAATATTGCGACAGCCAGAAAAATGATAGGATGGATTACGAGAACTTTCAAATCCAGGGATCCCATCACAATGGTTGTACTCTTCAAGTCACTTGTGTTGTCCCGTCTCGAGTACTGCTCAGTACTCACTTTCCCCTTCAGAGCAGGAGAGATTGCTGAAATAGAGGGAATACAGAGAACATATACGGCACGCATAGACGAGATAAAACACCTAAATTATTGGGATCGTCTCAAAGCTCTCCAAATGTACTCTCTAGAAAGAAGACGAGAGAGATACCAAATAATATACACCTGGAAAATACTGGAGGGCCAGGTCCCAAATCTACACAGTAAAATAACAACGTACTGGAGTGAACGATATGGAAGAAAATGCAAGATTGAACCAGTGAAGAGCAGAGGTGCCATAGGCACAATCAGAGAACACTGTATAAACATCAGAGGTCCGCGGTTGTTCAACGTCCTCCTAGCAACTATAAGAAATATTGCTGGAACAACCGTGGACATCTTCAAGAGAAAACTGGACTGTTTTCTAAGAGAAGTTCCGGATCAGCCGGGCTGTGGTGGGTATGTGGGCCTGCGGGCCGCTCCAAGCAACAGCCAGGTGGACCAAACTCTCACAAGTCGAGCCTGGCCTCGGGCCGGGCTTGGGGAGTAGAAGAACTCCCAGAACCCCATCAACCAGGTATCAACCAGGTACCAGGCGAAGAAGGGAGGTGGGAGGTGCCATTACCAAGGAAACATAAAACGTTGTAGCAACCTCCACTAACGTTTCAACAGGGTAGTTGGAAAGGCAAGTTGGTTGTGTGGTTCAACAGGCACTTGAGCAACCATAAACCAAAGAATAGTAAAGTATTTCTTTATGTAATATCGTAAATACGGTCTTTTCTAACACTGGTTTCTCCTGTATATGTTAAAAAAATACTTTTTTTCACATTTAAATATTCAATTTATGTACAATACATATATAAATTGTGAATGTTGTTCCATACCTGTATGAAACATTCTTAAAAATTTAGTTAATTGAACTATA